TAGTGCTACAGGGGACAACACTGGAGACACACTAGGAATTGTGCCCGATCAGACCCCACCACACCAAGGCAAAACACTAAGGGAGTGCAACAGAACAGCAAGGGGAACAGAGCAATGAAGTCCCCAAGGTATACCAAGAATAGACTTTGGGGCCAGGGCATGGCACCCCATCCAACTCCTAAAGGTCAACAAACGCACCTTGAACTATTTACAGGCTTTTTTTTTCTTTTGTCATTAATTGTTTTTGTTGCTGTTGCTGTTTTGTTTTCTTTTGTTGCATTCTTTTGCTCTGTCTTGTTTTTGTGCATATTATTATCTCTGCAGGTCTATCCAGATAAGATAGCCAGGATAAACAATCTAGAGGAGAAAACAACAGGACCTATGGTTCCAGGGGCGACGTGGGAGAGGGGGAGGCGGGAGGAAGTGTTAACAACCTCAGGGACAAGGGAACAACAAGTGATCCAAAATAGATGGCGAGGAGGGTGTAGGAGACCTGGTAGGGCTTGATCAAGGGCAATGTAACTGAGAGGAATTGCTGAAACATAAGTGAAGGCTGAGCATGATAGTGGGACAAGAAGAAAGAACTACTGGGGAAAGAACTAGGAGGCAAAGGATGTCTACATATAGGCATGCACATATGTAAATATATTTATATATGATGATGGGGAAATAGACCTATTTGCATATATTTATAGGTTTAGTATTAAGGTAGCAGATGGGCAATGGGCCTCTACTCAAGTACTCCCTAAATGCAAGAACACTTTGTGTGAGTTGTTGTAAATGGATCCATGACTCAACTTTTGTCAGTTAAACTTTTTATGCGTTTAGCTTATTGACAGTGATTGCATTAACTGGATGTACAATCCTACCCTTAATCAATGTGATTTTGGAAATGGAAACTCACTACTGTGTAAGCAGGAGCTCTCCCCTTTCCCTCTCTCCTGAGTTTGGGAACCACTTATACATTTAGGTCTTTATACATTTGCCCGTTCTCGTACTTTTTATAAATGAGGCTCTTTTATGAGTGCCTTATTTCACTCAGTGTAATGCCTACAAGCCCCACCCCTATTTCCAGCATGTATCTGGACAAATGTCCATAGTGGCGCAGTGGCTGTGTGCGCTGATGCTAACCAGTAGGCAGCTAGTTTGAACCCCCTTGTCACTCTGTGGAGGAATGACCAGGCATTCTGCTTCTGTTAAGGTGTACAGCCTCGGAAATCTGATGGCGTTGTCCTGCTGTGCCCAGAAGGGCCGCTGTGCTGTTGAGTTGACTTAATGGTGCTGGCATGCCACTATAAGTTATATTTCTGTTCACTTTTTATTTTCTGTGTGTGTTCCTTTGGTCTTAGAGGATTAGTTCTAGCCTCGGTGCCAGGAAAGGTTGGGAGTAAGGGAGAATGTGGCTCCGGAGCCCCGTTAGGACAGAGTGGCTGCAGCCCGGCGCTGACGGCCACATCTCAAGTACAGACACGCAGAGCGGGGCGGAAGGAGTCGGTTTGAGAAAGACGTCTTTATATTTCAACTCCAACGACTCCAAGGTCCGTGCTTGGAAAGAAATGGGGAATTCTAGAAGGGTAGTTAAGGCGGAGGGAAGGTGTTTTTCTGTTTTGCACATGTAGTACTTGAAGTCGCATCTAGATCTTTCAGTAAGGTGCTGAAGATACTGGACGTTTATCGAGAGTGTGC